AAATGTGTCATTATTATCATAATTAGAAATCTGCACCACTTCAAAAATGTTTATTGCTAAGGTTAACTGTGTAAAACTTTTACAGTCTCGCCAAGACATCTTAAAGATACACTCCAGGAAAATGAATTTGATGCGAGGGATTGATCTGAAGAAGATTGCTGAGAAAATGAATGGTGCCTCTGGTGCAGAACTTAAGGTATGCACAAATTTTTTGTACCATTAATTAAGGTAATAAAACGTTCATTTCTGCTGAAGGCATAACTAATACTTGCACTCACCTATTGTATCAGTCATATTCCACATAAAAAAGTCCTTGATTTTCTCATGTTTCTGTGTGATGTAAAAGTTTGTACCCTCTCATGTGGAAACGTCATGTAGCAATTCCTCATATTTTCTGTTGAACACATGCAATTCTAGAATATATTTTATATTTTTTTATGGGAGAAGTTGGAATTAAATAGCCTTGTTTTTTTTGCGAGAAGTGTATGATTTAGTAAATCCAAGATAATGGAAAAACTTTTATACTCCATATTATCCCTACAAATTTGTACTTCATCACGAGTGCAATCATATTTAAGTAATTTTTTTATTCTTTTTCCATGCCCCGTTTTTCATTTCTCTACAGTTTCAAATGGATATTTTACACTTAAATATTCAGCTATACCTTGAGATAAAAATGTGGAATGTATTTAAATATGTAATGTTCATTATTTTTGCTCAACTGAGACATAACCAGACCAAAATTTCTATTTGTCTGAGTGGGGGACAAGTTTGCTTTCCCTAATATGCCATTGATTCCAAAGATGTTACGAATACAGTGGCGAAAATGGGTATGCTTTCGAGCAAGAGTTGGAACATTGTTTTAGATATTGGAATGGGAAAAGGGGGGAACAGTCTTACATTTCAAGCAAAACTTTGCTCGTGAGTGCTGATATTTACGGAAGTAGCATTGCCTTTTATTATGATAATCTACCTTCTATATCACTTGATTTTTTCTCTACTCAGAAAGTGACAAAAACTGAATCATTTCATACGGTGGCTGAATTGTTAGGAAATCTCGTATGTATTATAATCAAGTGTAGCACTTTCCATTAGAAGTCTTTAAATGTATTATTTTTTTCATATTCTAAGTGCTGTTCGCTTGGAAGAATTTCTGAAATAATAGGTTATTTGCAGGCTGTTTGCACTGAAGCAGGGATGTTTGCTTTGAGAGAGAGGAGGGTTCATGTCACTCAGGAGGACTTTGAGATGGCAGTCGCGAAGGTGATGAAGAAGGAAACAGATAAAAACATGTCGTTGAGGAAGCTTTGGAAGTAGATTATTTATTCCTATCGGCCACTTAATTGGGTCTTGTATTTGAGCTGAGAGACGGGAATTGCACGATAAAACACATCGGAATATTTGTGCTGGACCTCATGAGTCCCATTTTGATGCTTCAATCTGGTGGTGTATTATTAGATTGTTGTGACCATGTTTGTCCCTTATTATGTAGGGGATATCGATGTTGTTGCTAGAGGTGTTAAAAGTATAAATTGATTATAAATTGGATAATTATATTAACGCTCCAATTTTTCCGTTTTGCACTTTGTACTTAAGGTCCTCAGGTTTGTTTATTGTAGCATTTATGTCCTTCACTTTTTGATTTTTTTATTTTTTACCTTCATCTAGTGGACTTATTTTCCATGATAATATATAAAAGAATAAATGCAATTGCCATTAAAAATTTGCAGAATATTAAAAGATAAATAAAAATCTCTCGTGCAATTTAACAGCTTAGCTGCCATCTAATTCACTTATTGCACATGGTATTGGATTAAAACTGTATAGAATTATCGCCGACCAGAAAGGAACAAAATCACAGCCTCAAAAAAGAAATTTAATTGTATTCTCAATCAATCTCCTTTGGTGCACATGGGCTGCCCAGAATTAGATCTTGAATGTCCATTTTTTTACGTTTTCTGATTGATAACTTCGGTGTTCTTCGATGACACACCATCCCAGATATCCATTTGAAGAATAAGCATCCTCATTCTTGGATTAGGTTGGCTCCAGGAGGTTTATTAACGATGTGAAATTGTTTTGTGACATCGAATGGCAACAATTCGACGTAACTTGAATCGAAAGCCTTGATCACAATAATTTTGTATCAGGTAATATCTGGTGATGGATAATCTTGGAGACATTCTCAAAACCAATCAAACCTTATTAAATAGAAGGCATGTGAGCATAGCAATGTCCTAAGGTTTACTCAAAAGATGCCAAATAGGCACCTCCTTTATTGTCTTCTGTCAAGCATGGAAGAGACAATATAAGTTAATTTAAAAAATAAAAATGCCCTTTGTTGTTAGTAATGAATGACACGTACAATTTATCCATTAATTATCATATTTGTAAGCACTAGAACAACTTCGAGATTTAGGGTGGCCATTGCAAGTTGAGGGGATGAAGGGGCGAAGATGGTGAAGTTCAGCGTGAATATGTGCCTCTGCGAAAAGGTCTACACAGTCCAATTCACTTTTATACCTCTAGTAAAGTCTTATGGGTAGTCAGTGCAAGTTGAGGGGAGGTGGATTAAGAGGCGAAAATTGAGTGTGATGCAATGAACGACATATTAATATTAAATTTTTAATTGAAACTATTAAATTTTTATTTATTTATTGGGAAATCCATAAAAATCTTGTATTCAGATGTAGAGAAATCAAAACATACACTTAAAAGCTACTCTTTCCTAATGCACGAATATATAAAAGAAATGTGATTGCATGGATATACTATTCCGCGACCGGTAAACAGTTTGCCGGGTTCACCATGTGTATGTCTTCAACCTACCTCACATGGAACCTAATCACATTTTAAAGAAAACTCGAAGTCATACTTCTATTGTAATATTTGAACAATAAAATAAATAAAATTATTGTTCTATTCAATATAGCAGTGAGTATTCAGCCCAGAATACGATGCACTTTTGCATTATTTTTCTTTACCTAGACAGCCTAGTCTTCTGCATAATGGGATAAAGATTTTAATATTTTATGTAATATTGTCGAACCAACTAATTTAAAATTATAAAAATTATTTATATATAATCTTTAGTGCGTCTCTTCAATATGAATGTGTGGTAATACAAAGATTAATTAGATAAGAAATAAAAATAAATGTTAACAAGTGGAGGCGGCGAAAATTTGCGATCGACTAAGAAAAGAAAGACTTGAGTGGTAGGGTCGTGCTTTTTCCAACTAAAGAAATCCCAATATTCATAAGAGCGACAAAAGTTCGCTAAAATAGGAAGTGAAATGAATAGACTAGAACTTAGTCTATTATGCTAGTTTCTAAGATCTAGTTAATTTAGATTTTCAAAAGATTTATGCAATAAAAAATAAAGACTTGCTATCTAGTCGACTCTAAATTCACTGAGGATACCTTTACCTATAGACTGGCCTCGTTTTTTTTTTTGTTTTAAATTAAACTTGATACATGCACAATGTTTATAAATGAGTAGAAGTGTGTCATCCGTAACGAACTATCAAAAAATAATATATTTATTTTATTTATATTTAGTATTTAACAAATTTCTTAGAATCTCAAATCCTGTCAACTGCATGCAATGACCAAAATAACTGCCTTAAGTCTTAATGGCAATTATTGTTATTTCGTCTGTATTTTGGGTCTTTTTCATCTCCTCAAACTTATATAAACCCTTCTACCCCTTCTTCATTTTGATCCAAACAGCTCTCTCTCTCTCTCTCTCACACACACACACACACACGCAGAGACACCAATACTATGAAGAAGAGTATAAACCTAGTACTGTTAGTGCTGCTTTGCACCAACTTCCATCTTGCATTCTCATTATTTGATGGTAAGCTATCCAATTCTATGCTATGCTTCGTTTAAGTTTATACCCATTATAATTTGTTTTCTTCTCAATCATTGTATGGATAGAATTACAACTTCGTCTATGTTTCTTTCATAGTCGATATCAATCCTGAATAAAAGAGGAAAGTCACATAAAGTTACAAGTCACTACAATCTTTGTCAGATTTCATTAAATGAAATACGATGAAATTCTTCACTGCTAGTGCAAAGATATAATCCAGTTAATATAAATAGTAAATACTCATCGATCCATCCAGTAAATAATAATTCGCATATTTAAAAATAAATTTGGACGATTCTTCCTTTCTTAGATCTAAGGACTCTTTGTACTAAAGAACGTCTTCTCAATGCTTTAATGTCACACAAATCATATAACTGTATTCCAAACTATATGCACATTTTCGGTAATTGGCCGGTAGTATTGAACTATATTAAACAATATAGTAGAAATGTGCTTCAGATTTTTTTTTTCTTTAACATCGTCTAACACTATTTAATCAAACTCACCAAATATGTCAGACACGGAGAATTAGGGGTGCACAGCCGCATGAATTATTCTAATAACCTTAAAAAAGTGTTGTCCTGACATGAATAATAATTTTGATATTTCACATGTACGTATGCATGATCCAGCCTTGTCACACCAGCCTGGAAAATTTCAAATTCCTAATCTATTCCTTCAACTATCAAGACAGCCCATGTTAGCTTGGACAAGTTAATTATTAGTTTTATCAAATCCACGCAACTATCTTTTTACACGTGCGTTTGTCGAGACGTCATACACGTGCAAGACAAATTCATTTGACTATTAACAGTGATTTCCTATATTTTTCTAGTTCATCCTAACGTTACTAGTTCGATTGTTGCTGAGTAGTTTTTGAGCTCTAGACTAATATACACAGTAATGCTTTCATATTGCTAATGCATTTGAAAAAAAATTCAGGATTACTCCCTAATGGAAATTTTGAACAAGGCCCAAAACCTTCACAACTGAAAGGCACAAAAGTGATAGATCCTCATGCTATTCCTAAGTGGGAAATTTCAGGATTTGTGGAGTACATAGAATCAGGTCACAAACAAGGAGACATGTTGCTGGTGGTTCCAGAGGGCGTTCACGCCATTCGTCTAGGGGACGAGGCCTCGATCAAGACTTGGGTTAAGGTTAAAAATGGAATGTTTTACTCACTTTCATTTAGTGCTTCAAGAACTTGTGCACAAGAAGAGAGATTGAATGTTTCTGTGTCACCAAATTCTGAGCCTAAGGATTGGGGAATGTTACCTATGCAAACAATGTATAGTAGTGCTGGCTGGGATTCATATTCATGGGGGTTTTTAGCAGAATCAGATGAAATTCAGATAGTGATTCATAATCCTGAAATGAAGAAGGATAAGGCCTGTGGTCCACTTATTGATTCAGTTGCGCTCAAGGTTATGAACTCTCCTAAAAGACCAAGAGGTAAATAATATCTCCCCCTTCATGAACAAGGTATATTTGACATGCTACACTAGAGATATAAAGTACTCGGATTTACGGCCCAATAATTTTTCGATTTTGGTCATTTCTCTTTATAAAAGTAGGAAAAGGCCCATGTTGACCAGCCTGCATAGGCATCGGGAACCATGGCATGGCCCACCTCAAATTTATACCTCTATGCTAGACTAGACATGATTAGGCAAGAGAAACATGTAATATATTTGTTCATATATTGTGTTCTTATTCTTGTCGAAAAGAAAATACCACTACCTTAAATTGTGCAACACACATCTCTAATGCTTATTAACAATCATGCTGCAGGCAACATGTTAAAGAATGGAAATTTCGAAGAGGGTCCATATATATTCCCCAACACATCATGTGGTGCCCTCATCCCACCAAACATTGAGGATGATCATTCTCCCCTGCTCGGATGGATGATCGAATCTCTTAAAGCAGTAAAGTACATAGATTCTGACCATTTCGCAGTCCCCGAGGGAAAACGAGCAGTTGAACTTGTGGCAGGGAGGGAAAGTGCACTTGCACAGGTTGTAAAAACCTTGCCCGGTAAAACCTATGACCTATTCTTCTCTATAGGGGATTCCAAGAACTCTTGTGAAGGATCAATGGTGGTTGAGGCATCGGCTGGCAAGATTATTGGTCAATTTCCTTATGAATCCAAGGGCAATGGTGGGTTCAGACGTACTAAATTGAGGTTTGTGGCTGTGTCACCTCGTGCAAGGATTAGATTTTTGAGCACATTCTATCACATGAAGATTGATGGTTCCCTATGTGGTCCAGTGATTGATGATGTGAAATTGGTTCGTGTTCGTAATCTATGACATGGCTGATTGTGATTGGAAAAAGTCAATTTATTATTATTATTATGTTGTTTTTATTGATTGCATTGATTATGCGATCGCGTGGGTCTAGAGAAATATTTTGGAATTATGGAGTAAGTTTTTCATCGTCATTACATAATAAAGAATAGGATATGCTTTTGAATTATTCAAGAGATCTACGTCGAATTTCTTCAAGATCTTTACTGTTGGTATATCAATGAATTCGTTGAACATAAACTAATGGACAAAATCAATTCCATTTCTTGCCATACATACAACTAAAATGCATACCATCTCTAGCACTATTTTATAGGGAAACGTAAGATTTTGAATGTAAACAAAATCGTACGACTAGACATGTAATGAAGAATGAGTTTATAAGAGAATTTGGCTACTCTTATTAATATGTTAGGTCAAAATTTTCTGATGGAATGAAACCTCAATTCCTAACATATACGTCATCAAAACTCCATTGACATATTTGCACACACACGTGCGGTCACGCACACCTACACATACACAAATGTCTAGGTATATCCTCAATCTTGTAGTAGAAGCAGGTATACCATTGTCAAATACCTTATTTTCCTATGCCACAATGTCACATAATGTCATTACATTTCTACTAATCAAACTATCAAACAATTTTGGCATTTGGTGTAGCCAAATATTCGATTTTTAGTAAATTTTGATATAAATTAATGAATTTGTAGTTAAAAAGTTGATTAAAGTCGTAAATCCTTTAAATGTGTGGTTATACACTTATAATTAATTGTTGATTTTAACTTGAATTTTTATCAAAATTTTAATCTACACCGAACAAGGGCTTTATATCAAGGAATGAAAGAACTAGAATACACAAACAGGCACATATACTCGTGTCTGAGCATCATAAGGTCTAATAACAAATGAAATAAATGTATCCATCGATTATTTTGATATGCCTGAAAAAGGGCAGGAGTGCGTATTTCCAATGGATAAATGGGCCGTGTTTAAAACCCCAAAACTATCAAGAGAGATCAACAGATTCGGCTGTTGCAAAAGCAACCATAAGAACAAAAAATCCATCAAAATCAAGCGAAGCACAAAGCTTTTGGATCCCCAAGTTTCTAAGTATTCCCTCGTCACCTCACCAGATTTATTCTGGCAGGAAAATTGCCGTGTATAATTAATGATGATCGTCTTCATCATCGCCATGTCCATCAGGAGGTCCACCTGGGCCAACCACTTCCAACTGCAAACAATGAGAGAATTATAAGTAATTTGATCTAGAATCATTTGTACCAACACAAAAGCAATGCTGCAATGAACCAGAGGTTCACATATTTCCTGAATGTCACTACAATATAAAAGAGCCTTAGTAAAGGCTACTGTTGAGGCAAACACGTGTCACCACGTCCTGTCGTCAAACTCTCTTTTTTCCTTCATTTTATCTAACACCCCCTATACAGTAAAATAAGAAAATTGGAAGCTCACCTACCCATCCTCCCCTTCTCTCTGCCGCCATCTATGCACATTTTCTTACGAAGTTTTTGCCTCCATCTCATCCGGAAAATTGAGCACAACCAACATCAAGTCATCTGCACCTTAAGAAGTTTATGCAATTTTCAAATTTGTAGTGGGTGGGTCTCAGGGTAGAAGATTTGGTGCTTGAGATATGTTTTGAGGCAGTTTATGGATGAAGTTTCAAATCTTGCACTTTGATTTATGATATTTTGCTTTATTTTTGTTAATATTTTTAAAATAGGTAAATTTCATATGGTTTTAACTAATTATTGGTAGTTTATTTGCAGGAGGAGGATTCTTGGGGTATTGAAAAATTGGTTGGAGAATAAGATTCAAGTTAGAGTACTAAGGGCCTGTTTGATAGGCCCTTTTTATCCATGGAAAATGGAATTGAAATTCCATTTCCCACTTTTGCCATGTTTGATAGCCAAAATTTTCCATGGAAAATATTGTCCTCCCACCCCCAACGTGACCCCTTTTTCCATGTTTTGGTTGAATTAGTTTTCCTACAACTTTGGTGGGAAAATGGTTTCCAACTTTTTTTTGGTGCAATGAAAACAAATTTTATGGACAATTGTAAAAAAAAATTCCCTTTAATGGACAATTTCCATGAAAAACAAAGTCAAACGAACACCAAAAGATTCAAAATTTCAATATTTTTCAGGTGAAAAATTATACCAATCAAACCCAATTAATTGACAATTCCCAGGAAAACAATTTTAGGCAATTCAATTCCCTGTAATTCATTTTCTTTCCACCCAAATTTCACTCTTACTATCAAACGGAGCCTAAATGATGGTGAACAAATTTTTGGGTGTTGGGACCTCATGCCAGTGCCTAGAAATCAGGCTACAAATTAACATAATTTTAAGCATAGCAACAAAAGATTCTCATACAAATAATGACTGCACACTACCCCCATTGCATGTAAAAACTTTATTACAGTCCGCATTTATCACATCAGCTCATCTCATGGCCAGAGGATATTTAGCCCCTCTTTGGCCCCCCATTTCTTAAAAATCAATTTTCCCCAAACTCATTTTCAACCACACATTTCACCAACTTTTATCAAAATCTATTAAAAGTCTAATTTTTATCCAAACCAAATAGGGGCTTAGTAAAGTTTGATCCAGCACTTACCACGAAGTACTGTGAGCATACTGGGCATTCATGTGGCTTGCCTTTCTCTAGCCAGAACCAAACAACATCATGCTCATCTTCTATTAAATTTAAAGGGTGGATAAGAAATTGTCAGACGCAAATAAGAAATTGAATTGTAAAGCAGAACTTGATAACAAAATTTACTCTTGAAAAATCGCAGATGACAGATGGGCACTAACCACCTTCAGCACCAGGGCAGCCCACAATTCTTTTGTCATAGTAAGACTTGATAACAGCAGGTGCTTCCTGCAAGAAAACATAATTTAAAGAAAGCACTGTATTTAATTTGAAATTGCAGAAAGAACAAAAAGAAGCGCAAAAAACTCAAACAGTCACCAAACTTTGGGCTTTGTTTCATTTTAGTCATTCATCTTTAATTAGTTCCAAAACGGTCACCGAACTTTACGTCTAGCTTTAGTTAGTCAATCTATTTGTCTCTGTCCCTAATATTAACCGAAACTGATGGAGATAAAAGGAACGACCAACCTGAAACAAAACATAAGGTCCAAGCATTATGTAACACGTGGTCTAATGAAAAATAGTAATTCTCAACAGTAAAGCCCTGACATAGTTATTTTCTATGTCGCTCGACTCTTAATTTTGGTAGTAACCGTGTACGCATAACACATAAAGATAAGGGTATGGGATACACGATGGATCGTTTAAATCAGAAGACAATCCTTTATATCGTTTTTCTTCTCAAAATTTTGATGTACTGGTAAAGAGTAATAAGACACAATACAGGATACACCACCTGTGATAATTTTTAACAAAAGAAAGTTAGCTGTTAAGCAGGTAATAGTCTAGAATGGAAAGGTAAGGAGAATTTGTACAAGCCACTTCAGTACTTAGAGCAAACTGTAACTCTCCATAAAAAATAATACACATCTGGAAAGGAAAGCTAAATAGTCTAAAGGAGCATGGAAATGCTCAATTTTCTGTTGTTTCCATTCTTTTACCAGTGGTTGCACTGATTTCCATCACTAATCAATAATAAATCATAGGTTACAACCTAAAGCATAGGAAAAGCTTCATCTTTAGAGGAAAAAGGACTTTATGGATCTTCAAAAAAATTCCTCAAGGAAAAGGGTGGGAGAAATGTTACAAATCATAAATGTTTAAAAACATTGTCTATGTTGAAAAAGAAAGGAAGAATACTGAATTTGTTTCTTCCATAACTCAGAAATCTAATATTTTGTGCACTTATAAAATATTAATCTACAGAACTTTCTGTTTGACATCTAAGTCAATAAAATAGCAGTAAAAACACGAGATACAAGTATCTGTAAACATCAAAGGGGTGTTAATATTATTGTGCTATGCAGCTGCATTTTTGAAAGGAGCAAAAAGAGGGAATGTTAATCTCCTAACATCTTTTTTTATAGTGCTGACAAGGTGGCAATGTTAAAATGACTTCATGCAGTATGTACTAGATTAATCTGAAGTCCAAAATTTCTTATGATGCATCAACATGGATTTTTCCATGTGGCATCAAAGCTTTCAAGTACTAATTACTACATCACTATAGCTAAATCATCAGCTAATGACGACTGGTGACCATCAAAAACAAGTTAGAAATAAATACACAAGGAACTTGTATGAAACAAAAGAATGCACACAAACCTTTGTACCAAAGGGACCGGATGGATGGTCAATTTCCAGTATATCCTTTCCCTAATGAAACGTAATCCAACAAATATCAGCAGAAAACATTCAGAAAAACAACCAATATTATATCTATAACACAAAATAAACCTTCATAATAAATGAAACAATAAAAACCCACTTGCAGCTCAGCTTCGAGCTCTTCACGCTCATGACCAGTTGCAATTGGCATTACATCCTCAACTTTCTTCACCACATTTCCTTTAAAAACGTTTTATCAACCAAAATAAACATAAAAACCATTAAAACTCTTACTCATCCGCATCCGTGCAAAATCACAATGAAGAGAATGATAAAGTTACTAATCGCTGCACAGATATATATCGAAAATGCAAGAATTTTTGGGCTAGGCGGGTACCAGATTCGGTACTAAATAGGCGATAGACGAGAGGCAACGACTTGACTGACTTATGCGAAGCTGGTGAGGATAATGTTTCGGTCAGAACTCGAGTGCAATTCGGAGCCGACTGCGTCCAGGCAAGAGTTCGAAGCTGCACAGAGAATCTTCTCCACATGATTTTCTCTTCGAAATTTGTTGAGACTCTGAATTTGATCTCAGGTCGCCCGCTGTTTTTGTCGAAATGATGAGATCTAAGACGTTCTCTCTCTAGTTTCTCTCTCTAGAAATAGCAGACGGCGAACGGGGAAATTGAGGGCAAGCTGCGGGAAAAGAGTGGAATGGCAACCTGTACTGACCGCATGATTCGCTCGTGTGAGTGTTTACGCAAGTGTGAGTTTGGCTTTCCCTGATTTACCCTTTCCAACTTTTATTTGTTCGTTCGCCACTTAATTAATTACTAGGTGCAAGCAACGTGCAATGCACGTTTGCTTAGTTTATATTTAATATGTTTGTTTAATAATTAATTTATTATTAATAAAAATGTAATTTTTTTTTGTTAATTAAGGACGTGTCTGGACGCGCTACAAGGAGGAAGGAAAATTGATTATGTTACCTTTCTTTTTTCAAACCTACAGCCCTACAGTGAGAGAATTGGTCCAAAATTGCGGCTCCGAACGGCATGAATTGTGTTGCCAACGGCTTGATTTTTGTTGAAAAGCATAAACAGACACCTTATAAATAATTAATGATATAATGTTTATGTAATTGATAAATAATTAGATGTGTGATTTTGATATTGTGATGTAGGTTGGTGAGATTGAAGAAAATAAGCAAAAGTAGACAAATTTGAAGAAATGGCTAAATTGTAAGGGATCCAAAGTTCGGGGG